TCTAGTGTTCATTTTGTATTTTCCTTATAAAAGTATATAACTATTGCCTATTAATATTTTACAGAAGTTCTACTTCGAACAGAACAACCGTAATGAATTTAAGACAATAAGTTATCACCTAAAGAACAGACAGATTGCAATGCTGCTTTTCAGTACTAATACCTCAATTAAATGATAGGGTGACTGTAAAAGTATAACCCATATTTTCCACTTTTAATACTGGTGAAACTGGCCTGCTGGATGTTCAAAACCAAAAAGTTGGGAGACCCAAGTCAAGGAAGTAAAAGGGCCAAGGAAAAAGCAGCCAATTTTCTGGCCCTTGCTCTCTCAAATCAGCAAGGAGCCAGAGAATGACAGAACCCCTCTAAGGACCCTGCAACTTCAAGGAGTCACCCAGCCTCCTCATCAGGGGGATCAAGGAGATACTAGAGAACAGGAAGCCAGCCAATCAGTGCACATTCTGCAAAGAACAGGGTCATTGAAGAGGGAAATATCCTGATACAGTCAGCAAGACTTTGACCCATCCTAGCAGATAACACAATTGGTACAGGAAGGCTAAAAGAGGAAAGAGACTTCTCATACTATGTCCCCAAGAATGATTGCTAAGGAATCCTGAGATCACTGACTCTAAGAGAAGATATGAACAAAGTGAATTTTGACCAACTTGGTCTTAAACACCTGGCAGGAGAGTATGACTGAAGTATGACTATATGTGGACATTTAAAAAGAAAGACAGCCAGGCATGGTGCCACATGCCTGTAATCCTAGCAGCTTGGGAGGCTGAGACAGGAGGATCATAATTTCAAAGCTAGCCTCAGCAATTTGGCAAGGCCCTAGGCAACTTAGTGAGACCCTGCCTCAAAATAAAAAATAAAGGGCTGGAGATATGTCTCAATAGTTAAGAGCCTCTGGGTTTAATCCCTGGTTCCTAAATGCATAAATGGAAAGATAATTTTTTTAATGTAACTTAAGATGTACACTTCTGTCAACGCTACCAAAAGTAAGTAAAGCTGGAAGCTATAAAGGAAGGGTTCTTGTGTGGGAATGCCTAATAATAATGATCACGAAAGACTCAAAAGTCACAAGTATATCCTGAGTCAATTTGAGCCTGATCTCATAGACCTACAAATCTTCTTAACCTTCTACATAGATAAACTTGATCTGTTTTTCATTGACATGATTATGAGTTACTTGTTTATGGTTTTCAGAGACTGGCAGAAATACTAATTGTTTTTGTGTTAATTGCTCACCCAAACATAATACTTTGAAGTCTTTATTATTGTCCTAGCATGATCCTTGTCCTATGTAAACTTTGTCCAGTCACTTACCAACTGCCACCATGGACCTCTGGTCTGCCCTGATGCTGAATATATACACTTAACTGTCCCACCTGATAGAGAACAAGAACTTCAGGTCACTTCCCCCAAATTCACACAGAAAGTAGCTCAGAGATGTCACTGCCATAAAAAGGGAATTGTAGAAAGTAACAGTAAGGGCCAGGCAAGGTGGCACAGGCCTATAATCCCAGCATCTCAGGAGGCCAGACAGGAGGATCATGAGTTCAAAGAAGCTAGCATCAGCAATGGCGAGGTGCTAAGCATTTCAGTGAGATCCTATCACTAAATAAAATACAAAATAAGGAAATGTAACAGTGGTTCATTTTATGCTCTGCCACTGCAACTTTTTTTTTTTTTCCCATGATAGGTAAATATTTAATCTTTAAAAAAAAAAACAAAAAACTGTTAGCTTATTTTCCTAAGTGGTTGCACCATTTCATGATTGCAACTTATTTTTAAAAGGAACATGTTTCTTCCCCTTTCTCAGTCACTTCTCCTCCCTAATCTCTTCCCAACCCTAATCTTGGGAAGGCAGGGAGGGGCACAGGATGGGACAGGATTATCTTTCTTCCACTTCTGCAGTTATCTGTCCTTGAGCACACACCCACCACTGGAACAAAGTAATTCAGACTTGCCGATGGCACCAAAAAATACAAGAAATGACTCTCTCTCAAATTAACAAGTGAATTACACATGGAAAGTAGCCTTTGATTCAGTTCTTTAAAAATCCCTGTTCCCCTAGATGGGCAGAACCACAGCCTCTGGGACAGGAGTCCTGATATTTCTCCTTTGCTTGCAAAGCAATCAAAATGTTTTCCTTTTTCTCAAAACTGTGTCCTTTTTATTGAACTGGCATTGGGGATAATGATCATGCTTTTGGTAACAACAGTATCGCTACCTCCCAACCAGAGAACAACCTCTGTCCCCACATTTCTACTATAAATTGTTGAAAATATTTGTAGAACAAAAAGCTATCATTCTGAGAAACTCAATCCTCCTTTCAATGACATCAAAGAAAATTCCAAACTTTTCAACTAGATTTAAGGATTTCCACTGACCAATTTAAATTACTCTTACAGTATAAAAGGTCACAAGAAAGTAACTCTACTGCCAGTGTTTCAATTAGTATTATATCCTCAAGATGAATCTTAAAGTCAGCTAATTTATAATATGAGAAGTTACACTTTGGACAAAGCATTGAAGAAAATGCAAATATGAACTATTCTAAATCCTTAAAAAGATGTTTGCTATTTTGGTTCCCTAGAGTTCAGAAATCAAGATGGACTTACCTAAACCAATTCTTTCAAATAGGAAGTACTAACCTGACTGGTAATGCTATTTTCCCATAATAAATACAATCATGTATCGCCCACACTCCCTTCCTACTCTATGCTAAATGCTACTGCCTGCTGGTCAAAAAGATTATTAGTTTTATTCCCATGAATTTTCAAAACCAAAACATTTTTTTTGGGGGGGGGGGGTTGATTTGTTTTGTTTTTTGGTACTAGGGATTAAACTCAGGGGCATTCAATCAATGAGCTGTATCCCCAGCCCTATTTTGTATTTTATTTAGAGACAGGGTCTCATTGAATTGTTTACTGCCTCGCTTTTGCTGATGCTGGCTTTGAACTTGTCATCCTCCAGCCTCAGCCTCCTGAGCTGCTGGGATTACAAGTGTGTGCCACCATGCAGTCCCAAAACATCTAAATAAAGAATTACAGCAAAGTTGTAGGAATGTGCCTAAAATCACCATAGTATAGTCACCTAGTTAAGAACAGACATCTCAGGATAATCTGAGTTTGGATTCCAGTTGTGCTATTTACTTCATTCACCATTAAGTGCTAATTTCCCCATCTTTACTTATTATTTATACAGAGGAAAGCAAAAATAATCAGAGACCAGATCTCAATGGAAAGCAAGCTTTCTTTATTAAGCAACAGAATGGCACATTTTTTTCAGAAGAAAAAATGGCAAATGATTATAGGAGGGGTCTAATTTTTTTTTTACAGGATTTGAGTAAGTTTTGATTCATAAAAATGAGATTTGAAAGCCAAGGTGGCATAGGTCTGTAATCCCAGCAGCTTGGGAGGATGAGATAGGAGGATCACAGGTTCAAAGTCAGCTCAACAATTTAGCTAGACCTTAAGCAACTCAGTTAGATCATGTCTCTAAATAATACACAAAATAGGGCTGAAGATGTGGCTCAGTGATCGAATGCCCCCGAGTTCAATCCCTAGTATCCACCCCCCTCCAAAAAATAAGATTTGAATAATTTGTTGCTGGGAAAGGGTGAATGAATGTCCAGAGCTCAGAGATCATCCCCCAAACAAACTGTCCTCCTTTCTCCTTGACGGTTATATTTCATATCCTTCACACTCTACCCCAACTATATCCTCTGCCCTTTTTGACAGGTCTTGCTAAATTGTTGAGGCTGGCCTCCAATTTGATCCTCTTGCCTCAGCCTCCAATGTTTCTGGGATTACAGGCATGCCCCACCCCACTCAGCAGTTTCCCCATCTTTAAAGTGGGAATAATGATATTTTCTTAATGCAGTTGTTGTGAGGATGATTAAATGAGTTAATATTTGTAAAGCTCTCAAAGATGTCTGGCAATAACCAATATTTTACTGATTTAGACTCTTGCCTCAACAGAATCTCATGGGTTTAAATTTAAAAGCTCTAGAAAAATGGACAAATAAGCTGTCCTATTTTCCCAGCACTCCCTAATTCTATTAATTTTGATTTTTTTTTAAACACTCAGAACATCCCAGGTAGCAAGGAGGATAATACCAATTTTTTTTTTTTTTTGGGGGGGGGAGGCAACCCTTAGTTGTTTGCTAGTTCAAGGTGTACATTCTTCAGTTCAAAAATCTGAATTTGAACTAACCCTGAGGCAGAGGCCTGTGAATCACAGCCGTTCAGGAGGCCAAAGCAGGAGGATCGCTGGCTGGGCCATTTAGCAGAATTGGGTCAAAAAAAAAAAAATTGCTGGGTATGTAGCTCAACAGTGGTATGCGTCCCTGGGTTCAACCAGTATCAAAAAAAAAAAAATAGTTTGAATTTGACCCTCTCTGATCATCCTTTCCCATCACACATACTTTTCAAAACGACTTTTAATAGGTGTATAATTGTACAGAATAGTGGGTTTCACTGTGGAATATTCATACATAGATATAACTTGATCACTTTCACTCTCTAAAAATGACTTTTCTTAAAAGTAAACCATTCCCGGCTATCTTTCTTTTTAAATGTCCACATATGGTCGTGCTTTGGCCATACTCTCCTGCCAAGTTCGTCAAAATTCACTTTGTTCTTATCTTCTCTTAGGGTCACAACCTTAGGAAAGAGCAGAGCATTCCCCTGGGGCACATTAAACTGTGGGTGAACATTAGATGCTTAAACTGACCTTTCTACCAGGTCGGCAATTAAGACCTCACGGAAACGTTAAGTCACTCTGAATTATCAGGAAAACAGGAATAGAAAGAAGCTGGCTCAATTTCCCCCAGAAGCCACTGAGTAGCATCCAGGGGCAAAGCTGAGTCCCCCAGTGCCGACTCCCCTCAGATCGCAGGAGACTGGGCTCCCCTTGCTTCCCCCACCCTACCCCGAGCTTTTAGCGCCCACAATCAAGAGGGGAACCCGGGGAGCCCCGGGCACTGCTCACCGGAGAAGGCCCTGCCCGCGCGCCGGGGTAGAGGGCGAACCACCCGCGGGCACCGAGGGGCGTAACCGGGCTGGGCCTTGACAACCCATACCCGGGGGCAGAGCGCTGTGGCGACGGTGGGCGGCCCGGCAGCGGGGCGACGGCGGGCGGGGCGGAGGGCGGCCCTCCGGGCGCGGCGCGCGTTTCCGGCGTGCGCGGCGGAGCGCCGGGGCGGGGGCACAGCCGGCCCCCAATCGCGCACAATGAGACAGCGCTGAGCGCCGGAAGTGGGACCGAAGGAAAACTCGGAGAGGGAGCCCAGCCGGGACAGGAAGAGGCGGGGGACCGCGGCGGAGGTGGTGAGTGCTCTGGGGCGCCTTCTCCCTGTGTCCCTCCTAGACTCGCCCCCTGGCTGGGTCTCCCGTGGGTTCCTTAGTCTCCAAAGTAGAGGTCGGGCCTGGCCCCATAGGTACGTTGGCTCCATCCTGAGGCGGCCTCCTAGTCCAGTTTCGGTGTCTAGGGATCCTCCAGGCCGGCTAGAACTGAGGTCTCGGGTTCGAGTCCGCCTTTTCACTTTGTGTCAGACTCTGCGAGGGTGGGAGAAGGGATTTGGGTCGAGACACTCGGCCCCGGCCCCCTGGCGGCTGGGGGGACCCCGGAATCCCATCGAAGTGGCGGGTCACTTCCTGCTTCCTGGTCCCCACGGTGGCTTCGTGGCCGGGACTGCGGGTACGCCTCCTACTTTTTCATCTCGGACGGTCAGGGGTGGAAACTGAGGCAGACCGGGGTGGGGCAGTCAAGACAAGAATCGAAAAGGTGTGGCATTCTTTAGAGAATTGCTGTTAGTGACAAAACCAAACTTGTTTAGTATTGAAGAATGAGAAATAGGACGGTTCTCTGGAGTTGTCCTTTGGTCAGAAACCCAGTCCCTTTCATTAGTCCGGAGCCCAGCCCCTCTTGTAGCCCGAGAGATCAAAGCCGGTCTGTTCTGAAATGTGATGAAGCAACTAGAGTGGAGTTGAGAGGAAATGTAGTCTGTTTACATAAAGTTTTGGTTACTTTGTGTAACACTTTAAAGTAATTGCCAACTTAAAAAAATAGACTTTCAGGAGTTCTGTAGCAGTATTGGCTTGGGATGAGGTTTGCTTTTGAAGTTTTCTTTGAAGAGAGGCGCTTTTGTATATAAGTAAAGCTTACCAATGTGATATAACGTTTTACTATAATAGTTTTCCGGATAAGAGGAGCTTTTCTTATTCACAGATTTAGTCTTCACAAAAAATACTAGGTACGAATCCCATGATTGTAGGACTATGTCTCCTAACTTCTAGTGCAATGCACTGATTATTAGGAATGTGATAGAAATTTAATTAAAAGAAAAAAAGGAAAGGTTTCTTACACACTTTTGGGCATCAATATGATATGGCATTTTGTGTACTTGGTATCATATCTTGTTGTATTTAATTGTTTTCCCGAAATGCCTTCTTTCAGGTGCAAAGAAAGAAAATTGAAGTCAAAGACCATGGGAGATGCAGCAAAACCTTATATTGTGAAGCGCAGTAAAGATCGAGGACCTGTTGATGATGATGATTTCAGAAGGGGTCACCCCCAACAAGATTATTTAATAATGGATGATTATGCTAAAGGCCATAGCAGTGAAATGGAAAAAGGCCTTCCGAAAAAAAAGCTAACTCCTGGGAACTATGGGAATACCGCGAGAAAAGGATCATACGCTGTTTCCAGCAATCCATATGCATTTAAAAACCCAATTTACAGTCAGCCCACTTGGATGAATGACAACCACAAAGATCAGAATAAGAGGTGGCTATCTGATGAACTTACTGGTAATTCAGACAATTGGAGAGAGTTTAAACCTGGACCTAGAATTCCTATCATAAGCAGACCAAGGAAAGATGCCTTTCAAGAAAGTGAAGATGGTTACAGGTGGCAAGATGGAAGAGGCTGCAGAACTGTAAGAAGACTGTTTCATAAAGACCTAACAAGCCTAGAGGCCATGTCAGAAATGGAAGCAGGAAGTCCTGGTAATGTGTTCCAACTTGTAAGGTTATAGCCCAAAGTCAACAGTGTCTTATTCTTTTTCATCCAAATAAGTTTTATTTTCAGCAGTGAATTTCCAATTTTTCATAGTATATGTTTTCAGAAGTGTTAATTTATTTAATGTGATTATTTTAAGGTTTATAATCATGACATTTGGGCACCTCTAACACATTTCATATATTGGTCCTTTCAAAAGTTTACCTCACTGGGGGTGTAGCACATGCCTGCTAATTCCAGCAACTTGGTAGACTAAGGTAGGAGGATTGCAGGTTCAAGGTTACCTTTAGCAACTTGGCTCTCTCAAAATAGAAAAAATTTAAAAAAAGGGCTGAGGATGTAGCTCAGCGGTGAAACACCTCTAGGTTCAATCCCCCATACTAAAAAAAAATTTTACCTCAAGGCTTATTTTACTTTAGTGAACATATTTTCATACAGTAAAAAATATGTTTTTTATAGAAGGAGGGTATCATATCCCCCTAGGGACCATAGCATAATTTCTAAGTGGTATTATGTATTTTTAAAATTATGTTTATAATTTTGTATTTAGGGCTGGAATTGTGGCTCAGAGCTAGAGTGCTCGCCTAGCACGTGCGAGGCCCTGGGTTCGATCCTCACCACCACATAAAAATAAATGAAGATATTGTGTCCAACTACAACTAAAAAATTTTTAAAAAATTGTATTTAAATAATGAACATGTCCATTATATAAGTGACAGTATAAAAGTAAAACAAAAAAGATTCAATGTGAAAACACAATATAGACTGAATATATTGCCTGCCAAAAGAAGGATTTGTCTTTTGGGTGAAGTATCAATCTCCAGAGGAGAACAACCCATGGTTTTTGTTTTTCAAGAGCTGTCAGGTGCAGTTAGTTGCATGCATCTGTAGTCCCAGCCCTGAGGAGACGGAGGATCACTTGAACCTAAGAATTGGAGGCCAGTCTGGGAATTCAGCAAGTCACCATCTGGGGGGAACTAGGGGTATAGCTCAGTGGTAGAACACTTACCTAGCTTGTGCAAGGCCATGGAGGGGTAGGGGTGAGAGGGTAAGCATGGCAACAGAGATTGGGAAACATGAGTTTAGAAAGTCAGAATACAGAAAAAAGCTTTGCTGTTTGTTTTCAGTAAATAACAACCCATTTCTAAGTGCCTTCACATGCTTGATAATAATTACCCCAGAGTGATTATTTATACTTTTTTCTGAAAGGTTCAAGGTAGATAATGTCCATGTAGCAATGATTTCTATAATCAGGAAGGTTATTTTTATCTAATGGATATATTCACTGAGGTGAGGGGAAGTCATAAATTGGATGGGAAAAATGAAACATAGTATTTAAAAATGGGCTTTTATGTTTATTGGCTGAAAGTCTTTTGTAGTGACCATGTAGAATGAATTGTAAACTGTCCAAATCAAATTTTTTTTAAACTTTTTTTTTTTTTTTAATTTAAATGTATTCAGGCAAATGTGGGTACTTTTCTAAGTCTCCAGATGCCTCTTTCTTCATGTTGTCTCAGTAGCCAGTTCATATATGTGTTACTTGCAAGGCACTTGAATTTGGGACTCATGCATATAGAATGCTTAAAAAGGAAAAGCTCTTTTTTTTTTTTAAATCATTAGACAGTCTTAGTACAAAGTGAAAATCTCAAGCACTTGTTAATATTAAATGGGGGAAAAGGAAAAAGGAAAGTTAAAATTAATGCTAACATCAAGGAGCAGAGACAGAATGCAAGATTATAAAAGAATTAAAATAATAGGTAGAGGTAATACCTTAGCGTTACATGTCGTTAAGCCTGAAAAGAACTTGAAGGAATTTTCTGATGGAGCACTGTTATGATACAACAAAGGTGGAATCACAGTTTTACAAATTAGGCAGTTGCAGTTTGGAGAGTTTAAATTTATCCACACTTGTTTATTCAAAGTGGTAGATGAGGAAGTAGAACAGTAGTGGGGACTCCGTCGCCCTGGCCATTAAGTAATTCTCACTAGACCCAGAATCCAAATAGGGAAACTGAACATTTATTGATAATTTCTGGGCTTCTAGTTTTTGTTTTTCTTTTTTATATTGTATATTTGTATTTATGTATTGCAGTGTCCATGTGGAATGTGGACATTAAATTTAATTATCAATGCTTGTCTTTTATAAAAGAAAAAGTTGAAAAGCATTTAAAAATGAAGGTTTACAGATCAAAAATTTGCAGCTAGACAATACAAGGTGCCATTTGGAGACCCAAAAAGTAGTTCATGTATTCTTATTTGGTGTTAGGAATAACTAAGGAAGTTGTTCAAATTGAATAACTGTTATTCAGTTTAATATCTAAACTTTGCTCTTCATTTAAAGGATCCTAAAAAGGATCTCATTAAAGGGATCAAAATGTCCTTAAATCAAAATGTGTCTTAATAGAAGGATCTTATTGAAACTGTGAGAAAATATAATGAAAATAATGTTACTTTTTTTTAATACCATCTTTTCTGTTTATCAGTTTACATTACTGTTTCTACCTCATCTCTTAAATGTCCTAGGTTGCAATTTAACATATTTGGGAAAATGCCATTAATTATTTTAGCTGGAAAACATCCACTCAGATACACATGTCCTTTGTGAATGGGCTAATGGACCATATTCAAATAAAATCTGGGAAAATTCAAATACTAAATATAGAGATCTCTTATTACAATAAATTTGGAATGAGCTAGATGGTCTTCCTCCATTATGGGAATTTTTTAGCAATACCCAGTTATACCTTCTAAGAATCCCTCCAATGAGATTTTGACAGTTTATACCTGCAGGCCTGTGAGATTTAGTTCAGGAGGTTATACTGCTATCAGTTTCTAGTCTGTTCTAGATGTGAGTCTGTATGTGCCTCAAAGAGATTTTGTAGTAATTTTTATTTTTTCTGTTTCAAGATGAAAGGCCGAATTTCAGGATCCATCCATATTTTAATCTGTATTTCAAATCCCTTTCCTTTGACTTTGTCCCGTATCCTTGAACAGATTATTAATTCTCTTGGACTGGCATTGTCCCCATCTGTACAATGGGGAAAATATTAATATCCGTGTCAGGATTACTGTAGGGATTAAACGAGAGCAGCACACAGAAAATGCTTGCTTTACATCTGCCACATAATAAAATAGTAATGGTAGCTACTGTT